GCTTGAATTCAGGTTATGTATAGCTTAGTGACCATTAAATTACATGAACTTATTACCTAGTAGCTTAGTGACCATTAAATTGCTATAGCTAGGATCGACCCAATCTTAGATAAGTGATAAAAGTAGCCAATTTAGTTGTGTTGGAGAACATAAATTGTAACTACAATTGTGTGTACTTAGATCAATATTACATAGCTTGTCTACATCTTATAATTGATTATGTGTTTGCTAATGTATGATCATACATAGTTTTACATGAATTAATGAAAACATTAGTAAATTTGGACTTGAATTACTAATAATATAATAGCTGATAACCAACATTAATAATCCATAATTAATAGTTAACCATAAAGGAGAAGTGGATTTGAACTAAATGGAAGTGTTTTTAGTAATTGATTGAAATTCTTAGTTAAGAGATTAAGTTTGTTTGAACTTGCAAAATCAGATAAAAACCAATTAAACTTTTACTTGTTTTTAGGTTAATTTTTAGTAATTAAATTAGTTAATTAAATATGTTCCCTGTGTTCGACCCCAACTTAATTTACTATGCTATACATTGACTAGGTAAACTGCATATAGGTGCAATAATAGATAAAAGGTTAGGTTATAAATTTAAAGCTAGATAAGGCGATATCTTTTGCATACATCAAGTTTTTGCCAGAACCAAAAATTTTATTTTTATATTAAGAAAATCATCAACCAAATGTGTTTATCAAAACCATAATGAAATCATAGTATATCAATAATCATCCAAAATACATTAGAGTCAATAAAGCGGAAAATCAAGGTGTCTGCAAATGCAATGCGATCATCCTGAGCCCTTCCCCTTCAAACCGGAAGTACCTGAAACATAAACTGAAAACTGTAAGCACAAAGATTAGTGAGTTCGCCAAAATAGCCCATAACATACATACAATGGGCCTTGCCCGACAACCATTGGGCCCCGCCCGACATCGAGCCCCGACCGGAACAGATATGTCAGTGTCATGCGATGGGTCCCACCTAAGACACTAATCAGGCCCCGCATGGCATCGAGCCCTGCCCGGTATACATACAGACACATAAAACACATGCAAGAGTCACACATACAACTAGCATACAAATAACAATAGTCCATGGACCGGCATTGGTGCCTTCGACCCGCCAAACGCTGTGAGGAGACTCACCTCAATCTGCTGAAAAATCAGATAAATGCTCGGGCTGCTAATCCGGAAAATCCCCACACTAAATATGATAAAATAATTCCCTAATTAATAATTAGGCTTTAAACCATAACCAAGAGCCCAAGTCCATAATCCCGAGTCTTAGGGTAAAAGACCATTTTACCCCTCAAGGCTAAACCCATTCAATAAAAGCCCAAACCCTAAAAATGGACCAAAAAGCATCCTAGGCCCACAACAGGTACTACGCGTCGCGTACCTAACATGCACCCCACATACTCATGTTGACCACAAACGGGCCTCAGACCTAGTACGTGCAGCATACTAAGAAGTACGCCCAACGTACTGGCTAGAGTCCCAATCCTTAACCAAAGGTCTTAATCCCTTAAGACCTTAATGTCCAAACCTCATATCTATGTCTGAATAAGGTCTTAATCAATAAAGTTGGCAACTTTACTCCTTTTCATGTCTTAATGGGACCTAAAACCCGTGTTTATCCATCTAAGTCCATAATATGAACACCAACTCTCACTTGGTTCATCAAAACCCATCAAGATGACATTTTTATGCACTAACAACATCAGAAATGTTAAGATCTAACATTCTAAGCTCATGGGATATCTTATACTCACAAGGATGACTTAAGGGACCATAATATACCCAAAACAAAGCCCTATACTAGATCTAACGCAAAGAGTCATCAAGATAGAAGTTTATACCTTCAGATGCTAGGAACATTGATGAAGACTTTGGATATATGAGCTCCACTCCAACCAATGCTTGAACACCAAGATCCTTCTTCTTTAAAGTGTGAAAAAACACCAAAACATAACCACCAAATCTCAAGAATACTCAAGAACAAGCTAGGGTTTTATGGGGAATCATTAGAGGGAAGGAGGTTGATGAGGGGGCAGCCTCAATCCCCATAATGATCCTTAAATATGGTCCAAACCCTAAAAAATCAGGGTTTTCCCCTGACTACGTATGCCATGCGTACCAAACGTACGCCCAGCGTATGCGCCCCTCCACTAAAATTTCACTTTTCACCCCTTGGGACCAAATTTGCAAACTAAATTATTATCAATGGTCAAAATGAGAAATACCTTGGAATCGGGTGTTACATTGATAACCCACATGGTTGCTTATAACCCATAGGGATGATATAAGCCTATAGGACTGCTGATAGTCATTAGGACTACTGATAGTCCCAGGGTTGTTAATAACCCATAGTTGATTATTATGTTGTGTTGTATGTGATATTTTGGGGGAACTCACTAAGCTTTGACTTAAAGTTGTGGATTGAATGTTTTCAGGTACCAGCGGTGAACATAGGAAGGTGAAGGCGTGGCCATACACACTCATCAGCAACATTGGAGATTTCACATTTATTAGATCACTCTGATTTTTAAGCAAATGTAATTTGGAACAAAAGATTTTTCTTAACCTGGGTTTTATGGAAACAGTGTTTTACCTTAACTAAATATGAAAAAAAAATTGTTTGTGAAAATGGGACATTACATATTGGGACAATTGATGTTATTATGTGTATAGTTGCAAATTAGCTTATTGGCTTTAAGCGAATGGGTATTAAAATGCATTATATATGCTAGTTCTGTGATATACTCCACATTGAGTATTGGAGAGTACTATTTGGGATACATGACAATTATCAAGATATTATTTCTCGTATGTAGCAGTTGTCAGTGAATGTATTCATGTTATAGAACCTATTGACAGATTACAGTCACGAGTGTCCTAGTGACAGGTTATGGTCACAAGTCACCTAATTATAGGTTATGGTTATAGTTCGTATAGAGAACCCCAGTTTATAGGTCTTGGTAGCAGGACAAAGTGACAAGAGGTAATTATTCCTCATTGGCTTCAGGATAATTTATGTTCTCATGGATAGTAAAGATTTGACTATGGACTAATTATAGGTATTGATTCCCATATGTCCAAGTTTATGTTTTGGGATATTTAGACCCATTCAGGGTTATATATGTGAGTGTAGTCTTATTTTCATAGTTATATCTATAGGTACAGTCTTATCTGTAGGATTATGTTTTGAGTGAAGTTTTATTTGCAGGATTATGTTTTCAGTGTAGTCTTATATGCATGATTATGTTTTGGAGGGTAGTCTTATCTGTAAGGTTATGTTTTGGATTATGAAATCCTAGTATGTGTAGTTTTATATGCAAGGTTATGTTTGGGAATGTGGGACTCCTCATTTTTTATTATTATGACAGGTTAAATGTTAAAAGATTTCCAGTATGTTTTAATTGTTATATTGAAAGCAGGCTTGGATTGTTTTGTTGGGTTAAAACCCATGTAGCTCACAAGTCTTTTCGACTTTCATGTTATGTTTAAATGTACTATGCACTTAGGTTTCAAAGTAAAGCATAGAGAGATGTTGATAGATAAGGCTTATAGAAGGCTTAGCGAAGTCTACATGTGGTTTGATCCCTTCTCTTTTACTATGGTTGTTGATATTTTGTTGTAACATCAAACAATTGTAACTCAGATAAATTAAATGGAAAGGTTTTTGTAAAATCAGATTTTACTGTGATTGAATTTTACAGTAATTGGACAACCATAGTAAATTTGGAAAGTTAAAAGTAGGGGTGTTACAGAAGGCTAATAGTCTTAACTCTTAAATATCCTACTTTGCAACGAGTTGTTAGATATGTTTTTGCTATATCGGTGCCTACAATTGCTTTCGAATCAACCTTTAGTACCGGTGGAACACATGTCACTCCTCATCGTAATAGGCTTCATCCGAATGCATTGAAAACATTGATTTGTGCATAAAATTGGCTATGGGATGAGAAATTGGGTATGGTTTTCTATATCCCAACCCTTTTATATTTTATTTTAAACTTTTTTAACATAAAATATTTTGTAACAATACTTATATCTATTTATTTTTATTGCTAGGTGCACATTCAAATAAAGAAAAACATTTTGCAAAGATGATGAAGTCGATCCAAGCTTTATGGATTTTGATACTTAGTTTATGAAAAATTGTTGTTTTTATTCTAGTTCTTTAACAAACATGAGAACACCGTGCTTATCTTTTTCTTATTATTTCGTTTGCGAGAATGAAATATAAACTGTTGAATGTTTTAGTTATTGTGATTATTATTTTGTGGTTTACATATTTATATTTATAAAAATATTTGAATTTTTTTACTAAACAGATATCCATCGGGTTCCCTGTATCCGGTAGGGTTGGGTGGGAGCAGACGTATCTGGTTGCAGGGACGGGTATTACACTATTCGGAAATATCCGCCCCCGCTTGCATCCCTACTCCAAACTAATGATAAAAAAAAAAAAGTGGATAATCTCACTAGTCCATTACGCCAAAGTTTTTCTATTAAGGGTAATAAGAAAATAAAAAGACATAGGGCGTGCTCAGCAAAAATTAGCTGGTAGCGGATAGCTTGTAGCGGGTGGCGGGTAGTTTGTAGCTTGTAACGTTTTGTTAAACGCTACATGAAGTAGCATTTGGATTTGGAGCGTTTTGTTTAAACTAAACGCTAAAAGCTTGTAGTGCCAAACAAAGTTTTCTGTTCAAAACGGAGCGTTTTGTCAAACGCTAGAAGCTAGAAGCTCTCAAACGCTCCCAAAAGCTCCGTGCCGAACACGCCCATACTTCATTTGATTCATCATTAAGGAAGAATAAAACTTGATTGGTTGCTCCTTAAATGATTCATTCATGGCTTTATTAAACACAATCCTAGAAGTATCCCCATGTGAAAGCGTTTTCGTAATTTTATAGTTAATGATAACTTAATTATATAGTTTTGCATTATACTACATATCAATCATGTAAACATGTCTACCTAAATAACTGCATTTTTGCAACTAAACAAGTCCAAAAGATCATACTTGACTAAAATGTTTTATGATACAACCATCTATATTTTGTCTTGTTTCTCAAGTCTTTGAAAGTGTATGTATGTTAATCGGTGAAATGTCATTAGAATCTCCATCCAATATACGTTTTGCTACAATAAGATTAGCGCTTTCAGTAACATGATATGAGTCCCAAAAGAGATACTTTGATCTATCTGGGCAAATAGTAGCATGTGGTAGGCATGGAGCTAAACCACTATGCAAGCCTGACATGTGACAACATGCACTATCAACGTTTTCAAAATCTACAAGAAGAAAAAAAAAGATTAATAAGTTACATAAATAAGATTTCTTCCAAAAATGTCATAATCCATCAAATTGGAATGAAATTACTTATATTTCGGTATGGTACTTTTTTTCCTTTCACATACAATTTACTCACCATATGATCCATAGTTTTTCATTATGTCGTCGAAGATATGATATACATCTGCGTAGACGAATGTTGATCCTTTAAGTGTGTTTGTAAGTTCTTTGAGCATTCGTTTCAACTGGTTGTTGTACTTTTGCACTAATAGATTTTGAAATTTCACACACACTTGTCCAGAATGTTTGTTAAAATCTCTTTCAAACGGGCAACATCCAACCGGAGGAACATTTGTAACGAGAATCTTTCGAGCACCCATATCATAAAGTCTCTATACATAATAAACAAAAGACTCCCAAATCAATTAACTTTTATAAAAAATTGAATTACTATGGATACAAAATTTGATAATAATGAACCATGATATATGGATCTCAAGCAAAAATAATCATGACTTACTTTTGTCTTTTTAGCCTTTTTAGTAGGAAAACTCGTGTATAATTTATGTAGCTAGTTAAATTACTATGTATTTTGAATATAGATAAACCATACTCTATAATAGATTCACACATACCACCATAAGGTCAACACGTGAAAAACTAATAATGGAACACTAACAATAAATAGAGCATAACCAGAACCCAATACCTCACTTTTGGGATGAGATTCTATAATCAACGAGCTCCATGACAAGACGAATTGATATTTTAGAGAACATAGTTTGATAAATTAATAAATATAGTTTAGAAATGAGAAATTAAATATGAATGAAAACATCATTCATATGAGCATTTTTTTTCATAAATCTAAACGACCGGTCTAACTTAGCTTGACATGTCTAAATTAGCCTTTGTTGCTTCAATCTCTTCCTCCAACATCATCGGTGACTTCCTCCGTTATGGTGGTTTCCTCATCCATCGTTGATAACTTAGATATCGAATCTGGAATATCGAAGCAACAGTAGTTGCTATAGCAATAAAAGTTGAGATCGGAGGACAAGAAAAATGATCGGAAACAACCACCACCATTTGGGAAGAAGAAACAGTCATCGCTTCCATCTTCATCTCCAACATCGGCCACCCTTCGATTACAGATATTCAATTTTGATAATGGAACTAAAAATCAGATTTTTGTTGCTAATTTCTAGGTTTAATATCATCACAATCGAGAAACTAAGCCCTTTGATTTCATTTGGGTCGATTTTCTTCATGGAAGCAGATTTTGTGGTTGATTTCTAGGTTTAATATCATATATATATATATATATATATATATATATATATATATATATATATATTATATATATATATATATATATGTGTGTGTGTGTGTGTGTGTGTGCGTGTTTAAGCTCAGCCTGTGAATGATTGAGTGTGTGGTGGTAATATCAATGAGAGGTGAGTATATGGGAGATCCCTTTTAGCTGTATCTGATCAGAAATAAGGCAAGGTGGGTTAGCTGGTAATGTGCGATGGTGATGGATATGTGGTGATGTATGGGAGTTGGGTGGTTTATGAAGATAGTGGTTGGAAGATGTTAAAGGTGGTCCCGACAACAATGGGAGTTGATGATGGCGATAGTGGTGGACAATGGTGGTGGTGTTTTGTGATGGTATGTGGTGATGGTGGTGTTTTGTGATGGTCAGGTGAGGGGTAGTTGGTGGTGGTGGACGACGTTATGTGATAGTCGTGTTGGTGGGTATGTGATGGTCCCATAGTTGGAAGTTGATGACGGCAATGGTGGTGGAAACTGGTGGTGACGGTGGTGGTAATGGGGGACATTGACCAAAAAGGGAAAAGCAAGGGGTAGGGTAGGGTAGGATAGGATGGGGTAAGTGTTTTTAATATTTTTATTTAAAGAAAAAATTCTTTTAGATGTAAAGTTAGTAAAAAAATTTAAAATAAATTTAAAATGGTATAAAAGTCTTTATAGGTGGGTGTGGGACTATTTGTTAAAAGTTTGAAACTACATAGACCATCTATGTGGTTTTCTGAACTTAAGGACTATACTCTAGATTTGTTGAAACCACATTGACCATTTATGAGGTTTTGTCTAATAATTAACATGTTCAATTCTTATTGGCAAAATACATTTCAAAATCTATTTACATGATGTTTAGATGTTATAGGAGAGCAAACAGGTGAAAACCAACGATCTAAGTTGGTTTGGCACCATATCTTTTTTTAAGAATAAGTAGAAAGAAAACTTCCAAACTCCATGTGATTTAAGATACCATGACGGCTTAAATCATTATTATTTACTTGCTTCAATCTTTGTGCATTTTATAAATAGATTTTGATATATATGTTTTGCCAATTAGACGAGGGTTGTTGTTGGATTAGGTGTCTAAGTCATAACTATATTTGGTATGTACTTGACCCCGTTGTAGCATGGTCCTTTTGGGTTGCCTTCACCAGAGCAACTTCACTTGATGAATAATGGAGAAAGAGGTTATTATGGTTTATTAATATATTATTTGAATAATATATTAAAAGAGAAATCATATTTGTTTAATTAATATTGGTCAAGAATTAATTAAGAATTTGTTTTGTGGTCAAAAAAGATATTAATTGAATTAAGGGGACTGGAATTGTAATTATAAGATAATTGGAATTTGGGCTGTGGATCCCTTAAGCAAGGGATGGACGAAATCTTATAGGAGCCCATAAGGATTTCGTCCAAGGGCTTGATTCTAGAAGATTCCTATGGGCTGCTTAGGGCTTAAGCAACCAGGTTAGGGATTTGACTGAAACCCTAATTCTGAAGCTATATAAGGACCCCTTGGGATAGTGAAATCGGCCACTTGAAACCCTAAAAGAGTTCCAACCGATTTTGAGCCTCCCTTCCTCTCTCTCCATCATTCTCCAACTTGTTTTGGTGTTTGTGATCTATTAGAGGCACAACATTTGAGGTGCTAAGGTTCTCAAAAGCTCAAGATCTTCAAGCAACAATCAAAGGTAACATTCTTACTAGTTTATTTATGTTGATTTAGTTTTGTTGTATGCTAGATTAGGGTTTGCAAGTGTTGGACAATGTAACATCCCGTTTAAAATAGAATAATTAAATAATAATTATCGGGGATGTTAGTTTCGGGGGTTAAAGGGTAATCTCGGGATTCATTTTTTTTAAGGATTTTATAAGTCAGGGGGTGTTTGGTAATATTTGGACTTTATATGTAAGGATTTATGGAAGTAGGGGCTGCTTGGAAAATATTTCGGACTTGATTGTAAGGATTTTTAGAAGGAAGGTTTAGATGGTAAATTAAGGATTTGAATTGAAAGAAAAGAGGGATAGAGGGACCATTTCGGTCATTATGGCTGGAAGTTTGAAGGTGCGGGTATTTAGCCGTTCACCACCCCGTAACCCTAACCCTAATCCCATTACAACAGCTGCCACCCTCACCTCCTTTCCTCCCTTCTCCAACCGCCACTCCCATTGCTGATAGGTCAGTCGCCGATTCCTTGCTAACCGGTGTCGCCAATCGAAGCTAACATCCGGTGCAGCCACGACAGCGATGAAGAATCACAAGTCACGTCGGTTAGTGAGTCGCCGGATTATAGCGTCGCTGCTGTCGAGTCGTACTCCGGTGGAGGCGCAACCTCCATTCCCCCACTGCAGCAACCTTCTTCTATGACCTTTGTCGCCGCCGTTGGAGCCATGGGACCACCGAGAAGCCGTTGTGTCGTCTCACCGCCAATGGAGACGAAGATGCTGCCATCTGTCGTGTTTCAGTCATGTGGATCAAGGATGATAACCATGGAGACCATGGTGATTTATGGTTTGTGATGAGTTTGCGTGTGCGTGTGTGGATTTTCGGTCGAGTAAAGAAAATCCATAAAGAGCCACCATGGCAGCCAGCCATGGTGGCAGCCTCCGAAGACGAAGTTGTTATCGTTGCTGCCCGCTTTATTGTGTCACCATCACCGCCGTATGCCACCAGGTGGGTGGCTGGACTCCTTCATGGGTTAAGTAAGAAACACTTAACCCTAATCGTCATTTCATGTGGAAACCCTAATTTCACTTGGGTCTTGAGTTGGGCCTTTCTATTGGGCTTTGGTGATTGGACTATTAATGGGCTTTCCAAGAATAAGTAAATGGACTAAATAATTGTATGGGTTTTAGGATAAGGCCTATGTGAGAGTCTTGGGCCCAATTTGGAAAATTGGGCCATAGATGGGCCATAATTGGGCCTTTATGATTATGAGATATTAGACCATTGGAATGCCAAGTATTTGGACCAAAATATGTGGTTGGGCCTTAAGGTAAGACACATGAGAAGGGTTGGGCCCAATTCGGAAAATTAGGCCATATGTTGGGCTTTGGCCCACTACTTGACTATTGGACCTTTGGAATGTGAGTTTGACCTTGGGCTTGGAACCCAATTATTAATTGGGTATTGTTTGATGTTGACAGTTCGGGAATCTGTCAACCAGCAGCTAGAGTTTTATCCGCGGAACTTCAGCAGTTCCAGGTGAGTTATCCACACTATACTAAGGGGTCTAAGGCACCAAGGCCTGCCCATTGGATTTGATATCCCAGTAGTTGATTACGTGTTGAATATGAGATGATTATGCATGCTAGTTTGCTATGCCAGTTAGGTAGATTTGTAGGACTACCTGTGTTACTGCTTGATTATATGTATGTGCCATTAGCTGTATATGTAGACATATTGTGTGGGTAGGGTTGAGGTTGCACTGCTTCGTGCGGTGACCAACAAACCCTGGAGTATGCCAGATATGAACTGAGGGCCGGGAAGGCATACCACACTCATAATGAGGACTCATTAGCATACCAGATACGAGATGAGGACCGAGTGGTATACCAGACTCGTACTAAGGGCTTAAGGGTATTAGAGCATTCCAGCTGCGGGCTGAGGGCAAGGGGAGCATGCCAGACTCGCACTGAGGGCTGATTAGTTATATTTCAGTCTTAGGACTGCAGGGGGCAAGCCAGTCATAAGCTGTGGGCTCGAGAGCAAACCAGACTTATGTTGTGGGCTCGGAGGCAAGCCAGATGTGAGCTGTGGGCCCGGAAGGCAAGTCAGACTCACACTGTGGGCCCACGGGGTAATCCAGATTGTAGAGTTGTGGACCCATTACATGCTGTTATTATGTGTATTGTTTGTTATATATCGGTATTTTGGGGGAACTCACTAAGCGGTGTGCTTACGGTTTCAGTTTATTGTTTCAGGTGCTCCAGATGTTTCGGCAAGGCGAAGGCGTGATCGTACACATTCTCGTGAATTGGACTTATGGTTTCTGGGATACTCTAATATAGAACTGTTTTGAAAACAAATTTGTAATAACTGTTGGTTTCTAAATGTTTTAAAAAGTTTAAATTTGTCCTGATTTTTATGGATGTTACAAGTTGCTATCAGAGCCCTGGTTTGAGTGAATTGGATAAACACTTGTGTGAATCCAGTCT